GAAAATTTTAGTGCACGATGGCTGCCGCTGTGAGAACCGAAACTCTCAGAGGTGAGATACTCAGATCCGTGGCGTCCAGCTTCATGATGTCAAATGCCTAGATGGCAGCTTGGCCGTCCAGTAGTTCCAGTGGTAAGAATATGCGGTAGATTATGATTAAACCCTAGATAGTTCTAACTTCTCCAGCGCAAGATAGTATGTCCTGTGCGCGGCTGCAGTGAGGAGCTGAAGGAAAAACGGGCGCTTGTGTAATTGCTCGCAGATCTAGGCTGCGATCGATCATGTGCCGTCCGAGAAAGGAAAGCAAGGACGAAGATGGAAATTGGAATATTCCTCCGCGAGAGTTGGCGTATGGACGGTTCTACCTGGTCGTGGTCGAACAACCTGATACATCTCAACTTCTCAAGACATCTCAGTATGATGTTAGTCACATGTCTTAGCTCGAGATGCAGCCCAGATGCAAGGATTCTTATTACAGCAGTGTGCGTTAAAATATATGACTGGCTGAGCACTGCTTGTTGCTCTTCGAAGAAGATGAAGAAAAAAGTTTATCTGTTGTCGTTATGCTGATGATTTTGTGATTCATGCCTCGTTCCGTGTATGTGGTATCCACGCGTCTCACGTCATCAAGCACGTGATTATCAGGGGAAGTTGCCGTTCGGCAAGCCCCACCTGGTCGGTTGAGAAAATTCTAAGACGGAATATATTCAGTACAGACGACGACAGATTCCTCTAAAGGCACTTGTGAGAGACTCTCTTCATACCCACGACTCAACCACCGGCATCTTGCACATTTTATTATACCAAAACCTCCTTTTTGCTCTACAACGGGTATCATTGCAGTCGTAATAGCAACCCTCTACTACCATTCGAGACTCGCCCAACCCTCCTTGCGAATTGATCGATAGCGAAACAGACATAGCAAGACCCTTGCGCGCCGTCGTCGATATATACCTTGCTCAGACGACATTGGGACCATGGCTTCTGCTTCGACTCTCCCAGGACCTGCTTTGCAGGCTTCCAAGGCTGCTCTGAACGCTGCTCTCGCGGAGGAAGAAGCCAAGATCGCAGCTAATGGCGACGCGCAATCCGAGGACGGCGAGATACAGGAAGTGGACATGCAGCAGCAGGCTGATGCCATCCGTACCGTCTTCAATGATCCGACGAACTTCAACGTCAAGGTGCGTGCAATCCGTTGTCACGCGCTTCAATCTAAGCCTGACTCACATCTCGGTCTGGGCAGCACCCTCTATACTCCTCCTGGACCCTCTGGTTCGATTCTCCTGCGACTAAAGGTCGTAACCTTCCTCAAACCCCGATGTCCTCTTTCCCACAAACACCGTTGCCTCATACCCCCGGAGGGCTCGCGGCGCAGGGATGGATGGAAGATATCAAGCGTGTGATTAGCTTCGACAGCGTGGAGGAGTTCTGGGGGTAAGTTTAAGTCACTCTCGGAACTTGCGCTTTGATGCTGACTTGGTTACAGGCTGTACAATAATATTGTGCTGCCCTCGCTACTGCCGCAGAAGGCAAATTACTATTTATTCAAAGTGCGTGCTTCGTTTTCGAAAGGAATCTTCGAGCTAATTTTTCTGTCCGCGATTGTAGGAGGGAATTATCCCGGCATGGGAGGACGAAGCAAATAAAAACGGTGGCAAGTGGAGTATTCAGCTACCTAAGGACAAGAATCGGGGGCATATCGATAAGATGTGGCTCTACACAGTAAGCTGTCGTCTCACCCTCCGTTCATTAGATGCTCATGCTGCATTTATAGATGCTCGCGGCGATCGGCGAGACGTGCGACCCACTTCTCGAAGCTGAGCCGGATCAGCAGCCGCAATCGCTTATAACAGGTGTCATCGTCTCGACGCGTCCCCAGTTCTACCGCTTGTCCATCTGGACGCGTTCTGCGCCTGCTGGTACAGGCGCTCCAGAAGACGACAAGCTCCGCGAGCGGATCGAGGCCATTGGCCGACACTTCAAGACGAGCGTTCTTGGCTACAGCGAAGGGCAGAAGCTGGCAGGTCCTCTTGCGACTGAGGTCGAGTTCTTGTCGCACAAGGACTCAGAGAAGAAGGGCAAACAGGCGAAGAAGATTGTAGTATGAGGCGAGCCTGTGTCAGCGATGCACGCTTTCTTCTTATCGGTGTCAGATTGCTAGTATTATCGGTGTTTCTACGTTACATGCATAACTTTGAGGGGTTGATCGGCTCTGTTTGGGAGTACAGTTAGTCGTATTCTTATGGCCGTTAGTAAGTAGTGGCATACATCTGTTTAATGGCCCTTGATGATCGCGATGACGTAGTGCCCAATCTCGAGTCGCCACAGCGCTACTGCGCATATAAGGTCCTCCGCGCAACCTGATTCTGCGTTTCTCATCCCTCTTTCATACCCCCAACGATGTCCAGCTTTTTCTCATCTCTGAAGGACAAAGCGCAGTCCGCGGTGAATTCAGCCGGACTTGGACGATCTGATACCACGGAGTCCTCCCAAGCTGATCAGACGAGCAGCGGGGGCATCAGTGGATTCATGAAATCTCATGGCCTGGAGGGCATTCACCACCAATTGCGCACGATGCAGCAGCAGTACTCGTGCGTACTGCCCAAATGGAGCGAGTACTCCTAATAACCACAATCGATTTCAGGAGTTCCACCACGCCTGTACAGAAGATCGTCACTACCGCCAAGGGTATCGCGATTGATTACGATTGCGTTTCTCGGGACACGCATGGTTATAGCAAGGAGATGTATCTTTGGGGCCAGATAGAATCGGAAGATCTCAAGGATGGCGCGTAAAGCTTGTTCGTATACCCGCCCCTATACGCTGACATACCTCCGTCGGTAGTTACTGATCGCCTCGCTTGGCTCAGCTACGTTCATGGGTCTCTTGCAGGTACACTTGCCAATAAAATCAATAGCTCAAGAACCACATTCAAGCACCTGCGAGACGCAGAAAATGCTCTTGCACCACGCCGCAACATTCGTATCGGGATGCAGAACCAGATCGCGAAGATGGAGCACGACCAGCGCAAGGACCAGCAGCAGAGAATGGCTGAACTCAAAGTGCAGCTTCAGAAGAACGAGGAGGAAGACGCGGTAATGGAGAAAGATATCGAAATTTCGAAGCGCAAAGCTGTCCGGGAGACTGAACGGGAGAAATGGGAAGCCATCAGAGAGGCATGTATCCTTTGAGGGCACTACGGCAACTTGATACTAATTCGAGCACATAGTTCGCCGAGAAGCTGTCTATGGTGGCGCAGGCTGCACTCGCTGTCGTTCCCGCTTTGCCCTCGGTTCCGCCTTCTCCCTCGCAGCCCTACCAGGGTGAGAATACCACTGCCTCTGTCAGGGCATCACTTCAGCGAGCTCTGGATAGCTACTCTCCTGGAAACATAAGTCTCATCGTTGCGAATCCCACTTCTGCGGATTTGAAACACACACGCTCCTTTGGCGAGACTCACGCCCAAGAGCTATCTCGTATTGGTGAAACCGATGCGGAATCTGCCAATGTTTCTATCACACCCCCGCCCAGCACTGCTGCCGCTCCCCCACCTGCACCTTCTAACCACACTGCGTTGCCTTCATCGCCGAATCTCTCGCACTCATCCGGATCTCCTTTGTCTCCGCTGAGCAAGACCGTCCCGATTCCTTCGAATCCACCTCGCTCTCCTGCGTCTGCGCCGTATCCAGGTACAACCTCGCCTCCGTTGAACCCTGCTAGCCTCAACCAAGCCCCTGCTCCCATCCCTATCCCGACCACGACGTCTCCTATAGTCGCACCTAACCCAACAGATCCTTCTATCAAAGTGCCTTCAGTCACGCCGACTGTCGCGGAGACAGGAGTTCCTCAGACTGCAGGGCCTGACGGTCCTGGACCTGCGAGCGGCTCCTTGCTCGACAAGAGGACATCTCCACCTTCTGCTACCAGTCCATTCGCTTCTCTTCCCCCTCCACGTTCTTCGGCGACTGCGGAAGACGAGAAGAAGCGGCTTGAACGGGAAGAGCGCGAGAGGCTGCTGCACGGTGAAGCTACCAGTGGCCCCGTTCCTAGCACGGCGGGTTTCGAGAGTGCCGAGGACGAGAAGAAACGTCTTGAAAGGGAAGAACGCGAGAGACTTCTCCGTAGTGATGCCCCTGACGCTAGCTCGAAGCCTCCTGGCGAAGATGATGTCGAGCTACCTCCTTACCAGGAGTTCTAAGTTGACATTTGCATCGATGCTACTAGCAGTGGTGACCCCGACATTATTGTACTTGTGCTCACATGATTTGATACGACGATTTCTATCTGAATGTACTTGTCAGTATACCATGTAATATAAGATTATCTTTATTCAGCTGAACTACAAGTTGCATTTGGTAGCCACCTCCCATTACTGTCTGCAGGTGGAGACTCGAATCCGAATTACAAGATCGTGGCACTGTACTAGACGCCATGGGCAGACTTTTCCGGGCTACAGCTTAGGCCGTGAGTGCAGCTCGGATCCATGAAGTGCAAAGCCTCAGCAGGATGAGCCAAGATCGCCCAACCTTCCAACCCGTGCCTCTGCATGACTCAGCTGCAGAGCCATCCGTCTTGCGAAGCGCAGATAACGCCACAAGTTGGGTGCCTATGACCGGCTGTCCTGCTGGTTTCCCCATCGAAATTGTACACTCCTTAATCCATTATATTATCTATATGTGTGTGCTCACTTTTGTTTCTCTTCTGTCGCAGTTCGAACCAGCTATTTCCCAACTTCTATATCACCCAGAGTATAACTCCACTCTCATCCTACGAACGGAAATTATATCAGAGAGCGGCACAAGTATACCAGCGGAGACGCCTTTCTTCCAAGGATACCGCGCGATACGGTCTATCCATCGCAGGCTGCTGCCACGGCGCCCTGGTCGTGACCAGGGCTTAGAGCAATACTGCACTTTGTATGGCCTCTCAAATGGCGATTCGGACGAGGACATGACGCCGTCGTTACTTGTGCTCACACCAATCGTTGATGGTGAAGGGTCTCTGCCATACTATCACCCCCGTGTCTCGCATCTTGCCTTTCGTTATGTGCCTTCGAAAACACCTACGATACAGATCGAGGCCGTTCCGCTACCAGGCACTCCCCTCGACATAAATGCTAGACTATACCGGACGTGTCTCGCTCTCTTGGAGACACTCCACCGCTACGGCTGGGGTACGATGACGCAGTACAAGAAGCGGGTCCTACACGACCGGGTTGTACCCAGAGATGAATATCAGGACCTCTATCTTGTCTTGCGAGAACGCCACAAGCACCTCGTCAATGAATGGCACGAGGTCACTGACCCCCTGAAGCACGTATTTGAGGTAAGTCTTCGCTGTCATGTCAAGGCACTTCAAGTTTCTAACACGAGTGAAGGACATAGGCATTGCAACATTTCTCATCTTACTATGGAAGCAGATGTACAAGCAAGAGTGCGCGGACGAGATAAACATCTCATTGGACGAAGAGCCGTGGAAATCGTGGCCGCGTCCTCCTGCAGGCTTCGTGGACCTTGGGTAATTTATTTGCCCTTTAGCTCTCCTCAACACGTTCTTAGCGACTTTGCAGATGTGGTAACGGTTTGTTGGCGCATATACTCACCACTGAAGGCTATGAGGGGTGCGGCGTTGACGTCCGTGCACGAATATCCTGGGCTCATTATCCTGAGTCCACTCAGAAGAACCTGCGTGTGGAGGCATTAGATCCCACCGCCTTGTCACAGCCGAACTTCAGTCATCTAGACCTTGTTTCAGGAGTGTTCCTCATCGGCAACCACGCAGACGAGCTGACACCATGGGTGCCCATCATCGCCACGCTTTGCCACGCCTCGGGCTACCTCTCAATTCCGTGCTGTGCCTGGACCTTTGATTCGCGTTACGAACGGTCGAGGGAGGTACCTTTTTCTACAGGAATGGACCCCGACGAATTTGCTGACTCGCTTCACCTCGGTGGGGACGGTGGCAACACCAGTTCTTATTCGCACTACCGAATCTGGCTCGCTTCGCTCAGCCTTCACTGCGGCTGGAAAGTGGAAAGCGAGACGTTGCGTATACCGAGCACCCGAAATTGGGCGCTGATAGGTGTGTTGTTGCCGCCAGTTAGTAGACTCACCGCTCCGTGCTAACCAGATTCATGGGCAGGGAGGGAGCATGCCTGGTCCTCGCCAGAGGATGCCGAACAAGCTCGCAAGAACGCCGTCGATATCTTGATCGACGTTGAGAGGCGGGGTATATTCAAGACGCGGCGTCCTGAAGGAAAAGCGGGTGGTCACTGAGGTAACGATATTTGGGCCATGCCGCGAGTTTTGGATCCTTGTACGACATGCAGAACGTCGCGCGCGGCCAATCCGAACTCTCGCGAACCGGGCATCACTGCCCCATAAATGTTGTCCGTTCCAGACTAGTGGCGTATACGCAGAGATCGTCCTTGTATTCGCGATGAATGCATGTTCAAACTAAAGCTTGCGTTTCCGCTCAATCTGGCAGCTATTGATCCCGATCTCATCTTGTTTGCGCGCCTTGATGACGCTCAGAGCGTGATGAATGGTCGCAGTTGGGAACTCTCTCTCCACTGACGTTCAGCTGCAGCTCATGCATATAGTCTCTATCTACCTCAACCCTACCACGCTCCCAATTGTTCACCATGCGATCAGAGCTTCCAGTTGAACTGTGGCTGGCCATTTTTCAGCTTGCGGCTGAGGACGACACCATTTTCGAACACACAACGCACACTCAGCCGTGGAAACCGTCCTCCTGGTATAAGCTGACAACGAGTGGTGTCTCGAAATGGACCCTTCGTACGCCCATAGAAGAGCTCATAGCAATGCAGCATCGGCGTGCTAGGCTCATGAAGGCATGTATGCATTTATTTGGACATACGGGTTCATTAACCATGGCGCGCATATACACAGGCTCTAGTCTCCACATGCAGATATTGGAGGAAAATCGGTAGCGAATTCCTCTACAGCTGCTTGTACTTCGAGATACCATCAAACATTATCCGTGTATGCGGCATTCTCGATACGGACAGACACCTTGGCCGCTTTGTCCGGCGGTTGCATATCACTCGCTACTTTACGCGTTCAGGTCTTTCCACCGAAGACCTCGAACTCGGGCTCATATCCGTCATCCAACACTGCCGCAAGCTTGAGACATTCGTCCTCGACTGGCCTGTCAACGACACTTTCGCTGCTATAGCTGACGCTCTGTCTACCTACTGTCGTCGGACCTTGCGGACCCTTCATACGCATGTTCCGCCCAATGGACTTGCCAAGCTTATTTGGACCTTAGATTCTCTGCCGCATCTCGAGGCCCTACATCTGGAGATGAGCGAGAGAATTTCAGAAGACACGCGACTGGGTTCCGCTGGAAACGTCAGCATCACCTTTCCCGAGCTCAGAGAGCTTTCCCTCGCCGGAGACTCGTGTGACTTCATCGAACAAGCTACCGAATGGGAGTTTCCCGGACTCATTTCGTTCACTTTCGACTTTGGTGCCTACCGCAATGATCTGCCCGATCTGCTCGAGTTCCTCCGGATTCACGGCTCCAACCTGACATTTCTCGACATCAACAGCATGTTGCAGCTCGACGTCGCCACCATGCTCGATAGTTGCCCATCACTCACGACCTTCTCATTCAACGGCGACTGGCGCCTCCCGCTCGACGAAGACATGCCATACGAAGTGAGCAAACTCGTCAACAAGCCACACCCGAACCTCACGCACATCGGGCTGCACCAACTGCTCCATGCGTTCGGCGTCGGCTACGCGGGTACCTACGCGCGGGCCGACCCCATGGTCGTCCGCTACATCCGCCGGTCCAACGACCTGAACTTTGCCGCGCTGACGAAGCGCTGCTTCCCTAAGCTCACACACGTCCGCCTGCTCAACCGCACGCTCCTCCGCGACCTTGAAGAAGCAGACGGCCCCGCGGATAGCTGCTACGAGCGGTGGGAGCGATGGGCGGCGCAGTGCGCGGCCGAGCGCGTGCGCCTCGAGGATTGCACGGGGAACGAGCTTGGGCAGCTCCCGGCGTTGGACGACGTCGACATCGGACGTCCTGCAGAGCATCCTTTGTATCCAACGCACGACCTGAACGACCCCATCGCGCATGTACAGGCACTCACGCAGCAGATCCGGCATCTGTCCATGGCGCTCCAGGGGGCATTGCGGGCGGCGAATCCAGCTCTAACTCTCTGAAAGCATGCCTCGCATTTAGGACTAGGTATGCAGCAAACGGCCGTATGCCTACACCTGCTAACAGATGGAATCCATAGCATGGAACTCTGTATATTTTCCTAGAAGTCATACAAGTCGGGTCTGTCAGATTGAAACGCCACTCTCTTTTTCGGCTTTGCCTTCTTCACTGTTGTTGTGGTAGTTGTTGTGCTCTCCGCTGTGATTTCTACTGGACGCTCCTGGACAGTTTCCTGCTCTGGTTTCTCCAACTGTACTTGTACCGTCGCCATGTCCCCAGCTGTCGGCATGGCGTGCGGATGCGCATGTCCATGGTCATGTTTAGGCGGAATAATCATCTCGATGGAGTTTGTCGCCGGAGTCGTCCGACGCTCGCTGACGCCGCCTTCGAGGTCAAGGTGTAGGGTCTCGAAGACAAGCCGCTTCCGCATGTTCTTGAAGGCGAGATTGTTTTCTCCTGAAGAGCTGACGGCGCGGAGCGTCGAGAATTTGTCGCTCGGTGGGATGAGGGTGAGTGGGGAGGGCAGAGTGTGGATGTGGACGAAACCGTGGTACGAAGGGAACATCGCAGAAAGCGAGGGGTTCGCTGTGGATATCACGTTAGCATGGCGAGCTGAACATCAACGTATGCGTGCTTACCGGCGAACGCAGATAACGAGATGCAGGCGTCAGACAACCAGCCCAGTTTCTGCACCCATCCAGATCCGCCGAAAGCGTCATTGCAAAGGTAAGACGGTAGAGATATTGAGACACAGGCATGTCTCCGCTTATGTAGAGCCGCGCGTAAACTGTACAAGAAGTAGTAAACGTCCTGTGATAGTATGTCAGCATATCGACAAACGACCAATCTTGCTCACGCACCTGAGGCTCTACATCACCCCACGCAGGAGAACCGAGAGCAGGTATGCAAATCCTCAGTGCTTTGCGGGAGACGACCTCGGTCTCTTCCGGACCAAGCAGCTCGATGACTTGCTTCAGAACTCGCCGCAGAGGCCGCTCCTCGGAGTAAGCGACTCCAATCAGCTGAAGCTGCCTGCTTGAGGATGCAGAGTCGACGACAGTAGCAGGAACCCTCGAGGTTAAGTCGAATATTTGGCAGTAGTTGTCCCCGGATCTGCGGCAGCCACAGTCATCGTTTCAGCACCTACTGACTGCGTGAGACTAGGACATACTGATCAGAGGTTGAGACAGTCGTCTGAAATTGCTTCATCTGCTCGTACCTCCATGCAATCTTGATCTTCGAGTCCTCGCCCTCCGGTTCCTCCTCTACACCGTCGTCCACTGAAGCAGCAGCGGCCGAGGGCCCTCTGGGCGTCCACATGCATGTCTCGACGAACTGCCGCGGATGCTCATGCACGACGCACACGTCCTGTCCGGAGGCAAGACCTTGGCTGATGAAATACTTTTGCACGAGTTCCCCGTAGGCAGAGTGCGTATCTGGCGCGAGGATGAGCTGCGAACAAGCCAAGGGCAGGCCACCTCCGAGGATGTCGTCGAGAGAGGGGATACCAGTCGAGGTGATGAAGACGTTCGGCGAGCCTGGCAGATACTTTGTGCCGACTGGGACTTCGGTCTGTTGTAAGACGGTTTTTCTTTTGAAAGAAGACATTTTGGGCGAGACCTGGAGGCGAGCTCGCAAGACGATGATTGGGCGCTTCTGAGGTGGGCGATCGAGATCCAAATGTTACCGACAGGGCGGCGGGGGCGGCCGCAAGCGGTCTCTCGAGTCTCGACATTCAACGACCAGAGTCGTGGTCACTCATCCCAGCCACTGAACGCATGTAAGACCTTCGCTGATACTATTATTTGCAGCGCTATTAACGCTAACTTTGCGTACAGTTTCACGGCCACTGAACGCATGGAATGTTCATGTCACGACTGACGGCACTAGCCCAGTCGATATCCTCCTTCAGGCGTGCAGACATCGAACGTCTAGGCAAGAAATGGGGGCTTAGAGGGCTTGCAGTATGCTGTATGCCGAAACCTTGAATTCTATTTGTCTTACTCTATGCTTAGGTTGTGAACGTGGCCTGTGCTGTTCACCTCTTTGCGGAACATATCGGCTTCATTCATGTGGTAAGTCGCCTTATGTTACGTCTCCACGACCTCGCTTACAAGAGGTCACAGGTATCTGGACCGTCTATGCTCCCAACCATGAGTGCAGCTGGGGAGGTGGTGTTTGAGAGCCGAATGGTCTCTCCGAAGAGTCTCAAGCGAGGTGACCTAGTCACCTACATCTCTCCGTTGGACCCTACGCGCGTGGTCTGCAAGCGACTGATAGGTCTTCCTGGAGATGTCATTTGCGTTGACCCCACAGGACAGTTGGCTCCCTCCACGGAGCATGTGGTGATACCCAAGGGCCATGTCTGGTTTATTGGCGACAACGCTGAGATGTCCAGAGACTCTAGGCAGTATGGACCAGTATCCATGGGATTAATCAGGGGAAAACTTGTAGCCAAGGTGCGTTTGCACCCTTCTCCTACAGCACTAAGCACTCATGGTCTCTTAGGTTTGGCCTTTATCAGCCGCCGGTTTTTTCCGCAACAATTTCGTATATATTGACACTGAAGATGAGGCATCCTAAGCTGGACGCATAGTTGATATGTCGCAGAACTCTAGTACGTTTACGACATGTACTCGCCGGCGCTGTGCTACCGCTCGAAGTTCATAGAATACCCACCTTGGCCATTTGGCACAAACTTGAAGTTGTCTGTGGACAAACCAAAGTTCCCTGTACGCCCGTCAGTCACAGAAGTTGCAATATGTGACACTTATCCACATACCCAGTACGCTATTGCCGAGGTCTTTGAGCTTGCCCAGCATCTCGTCGGTCTCTCGTTTCTGGGCAGCTTCCACACGAGGCTTCAGAGCTTCCAGCTTTCGCCTCGTTTCTGATACTTGCGGCGAGCTTGACGGCAGCAAGCTGAGCAACTTAGTGTAGTCTACGAGACAGTATGTAAGTCATCCAGTGGTGACTGCGTGGCTACACAGGCGTACCCTCCTGTGCACTTGTGAGCGAGGACCAAGTGTTGATCTCTTCGTTGGAGGAAGCTCTTCGCTGAAGAGCTTTGACATAGTTTGGATCATCCAGCAGTGCTATTAAATATAAGCATTCTTGCGCTCGTCGCCTGAAAATAGAAGCGGTACCTTGGGTACACGCGGCGACGGCATCTTTATGCTCACCCTGCACGGGGGATCTTCGACCATCAGGTGGACCACCAGCACGAGAGTAAGCGCACTCACCAGTTTAACGTGACATGCGGCAATATTAGCATTCAGTATCGCTCTGGCCTTGCCGCATTCTGCCTGAAGCTCCGTCGAGGCGGGTGCAGGTGGGCTCTCAGCTGGAATCTCGGTGGACGCAGTAACCTCCATGTCTCGCGTATCGTAGTCCTCGGAGTCTGCCTCTTTCCCTTTCCCCTTGTCCCGTACATTGGGGTCAGGGCGACTTGGCCGCTTGGGCAGTCTTCCCAGCGCACTTCGGTAAGTAGCCAACGCCGCGTCCCAATTCTGGGCTCGAAAATAGTCGTTGCCTTCTTGTTTTTGCTCGGTAGCCGCGTCAAGAGCTTTCTGATGAGGGACTCAATTATTAGCGCACTCAAGGACTGCAATACGCACCGTACGTACCTTCAGATCTTCGCCCAACTCATCGTGCAATTCCTCGCTGGCTCTATCGTCTGCACAGTCTGCCGGCGGCAACAGTGTCTCTTGCTCAAGCTTGAACTGATCCCTTTCGTCCTGTGCCGACATGGTGTACGTCGTGGTCGATAGCAGGGTGTGTCTACACGGAGCGCGCGAAACAGTCGATCGCCGGATATGACGTCGACCTCATTGGGAAAGCAAATACTGTACACAGGGCCCCCGCGGACAGCATCCTGGGCACTATCTGCGGGATTTTGATAATCGTGTGACCCAGATTCCGATTGCAGCAGAATCTGAGCGCTCCTGTCCAAAATCCGTTCGATTTTTTGTCTGATTACACTTTTGGCTCTGCTGTAATCACTATCAGCCGGATTTGGTATATCTCGCAATCCGATTCTTAGTTGAAAGCTTTTCCGCATGGTACGAAGCGGGATACACCCGTGTGAGGCCAGAGGAGCACAGAGGTACATTGAAGGCCTATGGGCAAGTTCCCTCTAGTAACCTGTTCCTCGCTTCTCTAGTTGCCCCTGCCACCTCGCATCTACCGCCTTCCGAGCTGTCTCCTAGTACAAGTGAGGGCCTATACTGCACCAGGGCGGCCCGTACTGTGATGCAATATGTGTCGGCCGCCCTGCCGAGCATCGCCGGAGCAGCAGC